GTTGATTCAAAGAGAAAGGGAAGAATGAACAGAGGGAGTAGAGGGAATTAGATTAAGAGTTCATACATGTACGTGTGTGTGAGTTTGTATTTCGACCTCACCCCCGAGCTATGTCTCAGGACCCAGCTACCATAATCGTAGTCTAGCGCTGGGCTTGCATTTCGATTGAAAGTACTGGCATCTTCAAAGCTCAACACATCCATTGACTTAAGAGTCGAAATTATCAAAGTATGGGGTTTCCCTTCTATTTAAAATGCTTACTGGTCAAGGGACAAACAGTCTGGCCTTGAGAACCAGAAATGGCGGGTTAAAGTTCTTTTATGGGGCCCCAACTCTCCCCACACTGTCTGAGTCTCACTCAGCTATTGGTTTAACTGATAAGGCGTTTGTGGAACTGAACTCTATGTTAACTACTCCTATGCACACAGTTATGGTTTATGTTATATATAAAGGACACTGTATGCTACATGTACTTTGTTTACACGGTTAATTTTTGATTGTAAATTGTTTTAACATACATGACTTACAGGGAATGCTGTCTTTCTTTATAGCCATCACACAATTAGATGTTGCCATGCTTCTTTAATTGGTACTTAAATATTGATGTACATGTAGGTGGGTATTAAATCATTAATTAATTTTCATGTGTGTGTAAAAAAACCCACATGAGTGAAGAGTGGGGGCCCTACTTGCTTGTGTATGTACAACAGGAATATGTAAATGTAGTTTAAGGGTATTTAAATTATGTAACATGTATCATTAATAATGTTGTGTGCAATTAGTTTGTGTAGTGAATTCCATGTGGCTGTATAGTTTTCGGAGTTTCTATCCAAAGTTGTTCGGTCTGCTGAAGGGTCTCCCGTCTAGCCTCATCTGAAATCTGTACTATAAGACTGTTTATGTTATGATCTGGGAGACAGAAATGCTTGTTGATGTATCTCTTTTCTTTTTTTTAAATGTTACTCTGTGCTTCATTATCCTTTCCTTGAGAGATTTAGTTGTCATGTCTACATATTGCTTTTTATATTTGCCATAAATTGTGTGGAGTAGGCCAGCAATGAGAGTTTGCATGAGAGACTATAGGTCTTAATGGTGATGCATGTACTGTATCTGACAACATGTGTATCTTTGGTAACCCATAGAAACATGGTGGGCGGTGCTTCTGAAGTAGAGTTAGAAATCGATAAAGTGTTTGGGAAGAAAATGTTCATTTCTTGTGATGATGATTGGTAGACTTACGTCTGGGATTCCTTTATTTGGCAGGAGGGAGAGGAGATGTTGTAGACATAGCCCTATGTAAGTGTTACAATCTAGAATGACAATTCCTAAGTGGGTTTGATAACGATTTTGTTTCTTAGTTTTTAGTTCTACGACAGCTCTACGTTGACAAAGGTCCGGATTGGGTTGTTGTCTGGTGGTAAAGAGTTCTGTGAGGCAATCAGCAATTATAATCTTTGTACTTTCTGTATAGCACTCTACTGAAGTATTGTTGGTAAAGGAGATCTGGTACTGGCCCCCGACCTTTGAAAATGTGAGTCCTTTGTTAGCAAGTTTGTCACTGCAACACTGAGTGAAACCTTACCGGATGTTATGGACTGTCAACTGGGATGATGTGGCCTTTTCCTATAAAATGATTTTAATTTTGATTCTTTTATCTGCCTTTGGATGGCCTTTTCTATTGTACTTTGTGGTTTTGGGGCTGTCTTTCTCAGTTGTGATAGGGGAGGGAGTTCAAACTGAACTTAGCTGCAATTTGTACTGAAGAGCAGGACTGGGTGTATAATTGTCCACTGGTATGATTCGTTAAACCGTCTTGAGACGTTCAAATCTTCACAGTGGAGGTCGTGAGGTAGGAGATATTTTAGGGACTTTCTTCTCTGCCAGAAGGTACCGCTAGTCTACCAGCTTCTTTCCCAACTGTTTGACGCATGTTGTGGTGCTATTGTAAAGCTATATACATGTACATGTATATGATTTTCTTAATATTCATTCAACATGTGTGCTAAAGGATAACTACTACTAATTCTTACTACAATTACAATGTATACAGGTGCAGTTTACAATGTACATATTTATAATTTAATCTTTTCTTATTAAAAGGCTATACAAATATATTGCAAAAGGTACTACCCCAAATCTGACAAATAAGAATGGTTGCATCTTACTCCTCAGAATACCAGCGTAACCCAAAGTTCCGATGGAACCCTCCCCCACTCAGGAGGGACTCAGTGGATGCTTTCCAAAAGTACTGGTCTCTGACTTCGGGTAGTAGTAACAG